TGTTACAGACAGGAAAACTCATCCCTGATTTAATATTCACAAACTTCCTGCAGTTATTGTGTTCAGTATTTTGGTTAATTGCACAGTTGTTCTGTTGTTGTTAAACATTGAATATAATAAGAAATATCCATAAATATGTCACTTAGTCAGGGGTGGTTCAGTTTACTCAATGATAGAAAAGAAGTCCCTGATGGAAAAGGTTGGGAACGCCGGGGTTAGATGGCCAAAGCAACTTCTTCTGATTCTGGTTCACAGCCTCCACTTCCTCTACTTTTTACTGGTGTATTACAGCCATGTGTGAAGCGCAGTGTAGGCCGCCAACTTCCAATAAAACTATGCTTTGCATATATTCATTTGTTTGCTCAAAACTTTATTTACATTTCTTTTTATCAATATTTCAAAAGTGTGTTTAAAGTTGACAGTTGAATGGAAACATGACAGCTGTGAGCAGTTTCCATTAGGACTGCTTTCTATGAAAAAAAAAGTATTTTAAAAGGATGCCAGCATGTCTGTGTATCATCTGGATTAACAGAGATGGAAGTGCTGCTGTTTGTGGTTCTGAGTCCCAAACATAACACTGTTTGTCATGGGGTGGCAGCAGAAATTTCAGAGATCACAAACCTGACGCTTGACACAACTGAAGGAATGTGAGAAGTTGATTTTGTGCAATTCTGGTGACATTCGGTGGCATCAAGGTGCAGAACTGTGTCGGTGTGCAGGGTGTAGCTGATAAAAGGTGTTGATGATATTTACTCTGTGCAAACAAAGGTGAAAATATTTACCAAGGATGTTGTCTCAATGGGTTTCATCTCCTCTTTGACAATGTTCTCAAAGCTTCCGTGCAAAGCCAGGGAACAGATCCAAAACAATCAAACAAGTGTCAGGAGATTACCACCATCATACCACAAAGTGTAGTGTCAGGGCCATATCCAAGGCTCATCAGTGGAACAGATGTAAAACTACATACAAGAAACAATCACATTATCATCATGAGTAAAGTTTACATTCAAACATAGAGCAAATTTTACCTGAATGCCCAAAAAGAAAACAGCAACAGAAAATACAAATTAATGTCCGTTTCCATCCATTAGTGTTACGTGACACTGCTGCACGGGAGACAGGTCTGTGTTTTCTGATGGAGGTGGTAAAGTTGATGGTTCTGGTTTGTGAGGGGATCAGTTCTCACCTCCTTCTTTTCAGATGTTAAAGTGTGCATGACACTGAACCCCTGCTGAGGCAGAAAAGAGAAAGAGAGATAGAATAAGTGACTGCTGTCACAAGCACAAAGTAATTAGGTTTTTGCCCTTATTCCAAAAAAAGACAATATTACTTATAAGCTGTTTACATGACTAATGAAAATGAATACTCTCCTATTACTCTCATTTATATGCAGCCATGCATACTCTGATTAACATGTCCTTACCACCATTGCTTTTATTACATCAATCGGCAGTAGGCCAATCGGGGCGGCAGTAGCTCAGTCCATAGGGACTTGGGTTGGGAACTGGAGGGTCCCTGTCTGGACAAATATGGAGCGTGGACTGGTGTCTGGAGAGGTGCCAGTTCACCTGCTGGGCACTGCCAAGGTGCCCTTGAGCAAGGCACTGAACCCCCCAACCGCTCAGGGCGCCTGACCAAGGGCAGCCCCCTCACTCTGACATCTCTCCACTTTGTGCATGTATAGGTCCTGTTTGTGCATGTGTGTGTCTTTCGGACCTGTGTGTAATTGACAAGCAAGAGTGAAAACATGGAATTTCCCCTCAGGGGGATTAATAAAGTATATAGAAAATAAATAAAATAAAAAATCATCATCATCTTGGCATCAAAACAGGATTTTTTTTAAAGTTTCCCACCTTTCCAACCTCTCCCTTTCAATTCTTCAGCCATCTTCTTGAAAAGCTCATTGTTGTGATATTTGCATATATCCAGGAACCTGCTCATATCCAAGTCTTTTATAATGTTATAAAGTAGGTGTGTTTATTCTTCCTACCAGAAATATGGGCTTTTCTTTTGGCAATGCATTTCTACACTAACCTTGGAAACTGTTGGTCTGTTGGTTTGTTAACCGACAACAGGCCGTGTGTCGCAAACTGCAGTAAAAATCCCAACTGAGATGCATATTCTGAATGTGTTGTTTACATGTCCAAAGAATGCTCTTAAAACCTGAATAACAGCAGCAAATCCCACATGTCTGAATCGGAAAATGCTTAATCTGAAAAGACACCAAATTTGGAATCTCTACAAATAATAGTGGAATTTTAGTAAGCATGTAAATGTACCCAGTGTCTTCCATATTTGCCAAATTTAAAGGATGTCTTCCATTTTGTCAAAGCAAAACAAGTTGTCCTGTGGTATTAATTGTAATTTAAGACAAGTCCTAAAACGTTTAGCTGTATCTGTTAATATTATCCTTTAATATTTAACTGTTCATAGCTTGCAGATGGCAAACTGTCAACCTTCAAGCCTCCAAAGTAAATAGGAGATTGAGAGGTGATGCCAGTTGATGCACTGACCAGCTGTAAATCTAATAACCTTTTACAGATGGTTAACCCATCATCATTTAGGGTGGAGTAAACTGATGTACTTTAAACATGTTTTATGACTGATGGATAGATAATTCACTGTGTATAAGAGCTGGTCTTGGGCTTGTTCAGCATCAACACTCAGGCTGACACTGAGAAGGAGGAAGAGAAGATAATCCACCAGAAGGTTTGCTTTGCTTTATTTCTTTACCTCTTTTTATGCCTCCGTGCCGGCATGTTATGTTTTTGGGTCCATCTGTCCATCTGTCTGTCCATTCTCATGAATGCAATATCTGAAAAACACCTAGAGGGAATTTCTTCAAATTTGGCACAAACGTCCACTTGAACTCAAGGATAAAGTGATTAGTTTTTGGTGGTCAAAGGTCAAAGTCTCTGTGACCTTACATCTGTCTCATTTTCATTAACTTGATATCTTGAGAATTTCCTCAAATTTGGCACCAACATCCACTTGGACTCAATGATGACCTCATGAGAATTTGGTGGTCAAAAGTCAAGGTCACTGTGGCCTCACAAAACATGTTTTAGTCAAGAGTTCATACGCTAATTATCTTTTTTCTCTCATTCAGAAGAGGACAACAGTCACTACAGCTCAGCTGTTTCAGAAGTTTTACTGACATGTCTGTTTTTCTTTGTTGAAGGTAATTATCAACATTGAGATCTGCATCATCTCCAGGATGAAGACGCTGACTGTGTTTGCACTTCTTTGTGCTATGATGGCACTGACCACAGCTGCTGGTGAGTGTTAACAATGTGTGTGTGAGCAAAAAGACAAACATAAATTCTGTGCATCTGTTTATATCCAGCGACGCGATGGAAATAATCACTAACTGCTGTGTTTAACTGTTCAGCTCTGTCCGAGGTGAAGGATGAACACGGGACAGTGGAAGTAATTCAAGAAGGTGAATACATATTTCCTAACTGCTTTACACTTTGTCTGGAGACTCAATATTACCTTATCTCTATTTGTCTTGCTCAGGAGAGCATCACGTCATTGAGAGATCTGCATCTTGCCCCGGTGGTTGGAATCTGATTAATGGCCGCTGTTTCCTCTTTGTTCCACGAGCCATGACTTGGGCTCGAGCTGAGGTATAAGATGATTTGGATTTGTTGCAGAATGCCTCTAAATTAAGTTTATTCTGTTTGTTTGCACTTTTACACTTGGTAACTTGGCATTTTCTTGTAGTTTTGGTGTTTTTTTATTTCTCATGTTTTCTTTCTGGGCAGCTATGTTTTACCTTTTTTCTCTCCTCTGTAGTTAAACTGCCAGTCCATGGGTGCAAACCTTGCGTCTGTACATCTAGCTGAGGAGTATCATGGGATTAAAAAGATGATAGAAGATAAAACTCATGGGCATCCACAGACATGGCTTGGAGGCTTTGATGCTGAAGAGCTATGTCATGTATCATTCCACAGTTTATTGACTTTGAATGTTCGTTCTCTAAATCGAGATCCCATTACAACAAAGAGAAGGGCACTTATTGCATGGGTTGTGCTGCCTCACATTATAAGTCACAGACCAAAAGCAAAAGTTCAGACAGACTATTTATAATTTTAGAGTAAATATCAGCAGAATTCCTAAAGTCAGTGGAAGATATGAAGGGCTGGATAGAAACCTTTGTGATTACAATGGTGTGGTAGATGAGTATCATATTCAGTTTGAATGTCAGAATGTAAGCTTAGGGTGTTTTCACATTTAGGACTTTTTAAACGAACCAAACTCAGTTCTCTTAAAGTGCACCAAAAAGTGGACCAAGAGAAAAGGTACTCAGTTCTTTTTGTGTTCACATTGTCAGTTAATTTGAAAGAGGACTCAGTTCTCTTTCTGGTCAACTTCAGCTCTGATGGTTCCTCAGTCCTCTTTCTATTCACACTATAGCCTGTATACAGTATATATTTACATACTTTTGTTTTCACTGCAGTGCTGTTACGTATGACACCCCTCGCTTTCAGATGAACTTAAAATTGAAGGAAACCCGTCATGTTTCTGTGCACTGTAGACTGTTGCCGTTTGATGTATTCTACATCCCACATCTGGAGACGTGCAGTATCTTCTGTGGACCAAACNGTCATGTTTCTGTGCACTGTAGACTGTTGCCGTTTGATGTATTCTACATCCCACATCTGGAGACGTGCAGTATCTTCTGTGGACCAAACCACTCCTGGTCCTGCGTCCTTGCAAGTGTAGCAGCATAGAGGTGTTTATCCTTTGTGATTTGCCACTGTTTATAATGGCTGCTGATGAGGTGGGCCAGTATAAAAGCGGCAGTCCATCCACCAGTTCTTCGTTTGCGCCTCCGTCACCTCTGCGTCAATTCCGGGTCAGCGGTCATTTGATCCGACAGGTATGGCTCCAAGCTGCTTCACCTCGCTGGTTGTTTGTGTCTCTCAGTGTGCTTAAGGCATTGGTGTTGTGTTGTAGGGCGACTGCCTGTGTGCTGCTCCGGCCCCCCTGTATGCACTGCTGCGTGTGTCTGTGGTAGGTGTCCTCTCTCTCTGCGGTATGGTTGATGCTGTCCGGTGGCTAATGCTAGTGTGGTCACAGGTAAATGCTGGTGGCTGCCAGGGGTCCTCTCTCCCTCCCTCCTCTCGTGAGTGTGTGTCCATCGCTGCTAAAAAGGTATGTATGTGTAGCATAACGTGCACCGCGTCATCATCAGTGTACTTAATATTGCTAATAGTATTTTTCTTAATTAGGAATTACTGTAACCAGCTTATTGGGGCGCTGCTGTTTTGTCTCCGCTGCGGCTGCTGCTGTCTCCCCTGCTTCTGCTGTTTTGTCTGCTGTTTTGTCTCCACTGTGGCTGCTGCTTTGCTTCCACCGCATCTGCGGTGTGTCTCTGCTGCGGCTTCGCTTTTATGGCACAGCGCCACGCGGCGGTCTTATAAACCGCTTTGTAGCTCTGCTTCAACAAAATGGACCCTTGGTGACTGTTTCAACGTCTGGTGCGGGCAGTTGCTCGGCCGCACGCCGGGGCATGGTTCTCTATTTATATGGAATGCATGTGTGAAAGCGTGGGTTTACACCATTATTTTTGGTTATTTGTATAGGTTTATTTGTATGTTTTGTTTGGGTTGAACTTGATTCGGTCTGTTTGTGTAACTCATTTGCTAATTAATTGAATTAATTTGAAAGGTCTCTTATGCAATTAGGAAATTGTTTTGTTTTTCTGTTCTTTAGCCTTATTTTCTTTTTTGTTTGGGTTATATTTGTTTGAATCCAAATTGGGTAGTTATTGGTTGATATATTTTGTTAAGTTTCAGTTTGTGCCCTGCCCCTTTTAATTATAATTTTGTTAGATTTTGCTTTGTGTTTTTGTTGCAACCCCACTAATTTGTTTTATCTTCCCCTCTTTTCAGTGGCTGGAGGCCCGTGGTGGCGGTGTTGGTGATCTGGTGTTGGCACCCTTCTGTCTTGTCTGCTGTGTTCCTGGGAGTGGGTTACTTCACTGAGTGTGTGTCTGCCACGTGTGTCCGGTGATATAAGTTGATTTCTGTTTTTTTTTTTTTGGTGGATCCTTCCCCTGCACTAGGCCCCGTCTATCAACTAGGCCTCAGCCCTGATCAGTTTCCTTTTCCCCTCCCTGCGTGACATTTTTAATTACAATTTTTACCCAATTTGTTTAATAAAGTGTATTTTTAGCAATTGGATCCACGTCTCACGCCTCTTGAGTAAACGTACCTGTGTGCCTTGTATTGCAAAAATAATCCTCTGGGTGAAATTCCCAGGGTGGCTTTGTTGACAACCTTAGCTTTACTATCCTTACTCCTCCTCCTCGCCACACAAGTGTTACAGGTCGACGTGGTTTCGCCAGGTTTCGCCAAGTGTCCCAGTGCAGCAGCATGTGATCTAGAGGGCTGAATACAGTGGCAAAGAGCAAAGTGAACCTGGAGCACTTTGTGTTCACAAGGCACAGATTAAGTAAACTGCACCATGGACTTGAAGCAACACAAATGGATGGAAGCGGACATTAATTTGCATTTTCTTTAGCTGATTTTTTTTTTTTTGAACATTCAGTTAAAATTTGCTCTGTGTTTGAATGTAACTTGACTAATGATGATACTGTCATTGTTTCTTGTATGTAATTTTACAGCTGTTCCACTAATGAGCCTTGGATATGGCCCTGACACGACACTTTGTGGTATGATGGTGGTAATCTCCTGACACGTGGCTGACTTGTTTGAATGATTTGTATCTGTTCCCTGGCTTTGCACTGAAGCTCTGAGAGAATTCCCAGAGAAGAGATGAGTTATTAAGATAACATCTTTAGTAAATATTTTAACCTTTGTTTGCACAGAGTAAATATCAGTAACACCCTTTACCAGCTACACCCTGCACATCAAAGCCTCTGAACAGTTCCACAGAAGGGGCTGTTTTTGTCACTCTTACTGTTACTCTTTGGCCTAATACTATTTAGTGAATATAACCATGATCCAAGTTGTGGAACTACAGTGCACGATGGTTTGGTGGATGTAAACAGGAAGTTTTCTGTTGCATGGAGTGGTGATGAGATAGCTGTGGGATACAACTTGAGTTTAGACTATTTGTTTAAATTTTGGCAACGTGGCACCATTACATATGTTGAATCCGCTTTGAGCAGCTCCTGTTTGCAGTGTACCCATAGATGTCGGCAACTATGACTACTTTGATACTAAAAAAAACTTAAAAACATGATTATTCTCAGGCAAAGTATGGATTCTGATGCACATTGCAGCACTCAGGCATTAAGTGATTTATTGCCTTCAAGTATCTGCTGTTGCTTCAACTGCTGATGATGTTGATAAGCAACCAAATCAGCAACCAAACTGCACTGATTAAAGCAACACAATGGAGGATTGCACTTTTTACCTCACGGGTCCCCCTACAGACGAAAAACGGTATTGTCTGTTACAACTGTCGGAAAAATCTTTATGTACGTGCATTTGTTGACAAGCCAACGATACTGGTGAACTTCCTGAAGCTGGCCGTGTAATGCGCAACAACACAGCCTGGCAAAGGCAAGACACTGACACTGAGATGGCGGATGCTGAGTGGACGCAGGCAGGCAGGTCTGGCGCTCCAGAGCTCTTGCTACAAAAAGCAACAAACTTTGTACCGCCATCTCTGCTTTTTATTCTTTTTGTGAGTTTACTTTTACTTCTGTGCCTCCTATGTCTGCACTTTCTGTCTAAAAGTTATGATCAGGCCTACTCTCCAGCCAAGTGCAGCCAGCACCTATTGTTTACAAGATTCATGAACGCTAACCGAGCAAGAACGCCACCAGGTAAACACCAACCTACAAAGGCACCCGGCCGTCTCATGGGGCTTGTGCATCTCATAGTCATTCTCCTTCTGGCTGGAGATGTAGAAATAAACCCTGGTCCCTGGTCATATCTAACCCGGAGACACAACACCTGGCCCAACCGACTCGGCTAGCCCAACCATGGCTAATGTTAGCACAACCGCAGCAACAAGCCATGTTAGTCTGGCTCCCTGTGCCAGTAACTGCACTACATCTGCTACATCAGCTAACGTTACCACAACAACTCACCTGGACTCCACCCTCATTCCCTGGGCACCTGCCACCGCTGTCACTATGGCCAGCCTGGTCCTCGCCGCCGCTTAAAAGAATTAAGCTTGGGGCGGCACGACTTGATTAACGACCAGACCAGGGTTGTTAACTATAATATTAAGTTCACCACATCCTGTCCCCTCTTACCACCCAGGGGAATCACACCATCTAATTCACAACTGGGTGAGGAGGACACTGAACAGATGTTAATGTCATAAATTAAGTAAACCAAGTTTCTGATGTAACAGACTTGAAATGTCTCTTGGAAGTGAAATTGTACATTTTTTTCATGTTCTAATGTGCATGATCCTTGTTTGTTAGCTGAATGATATATTCATTTTAATCCTGTGGGCCAAAGTATTAGCGAATTATGAGTTCCGGTTTTTAATCCCTCATTTAACATGGAGTCATACTGCCATCTTGTGACGATAGTTAAGGAGAGTTCCCTTAAGGAATCCCACATTATATTTAGAGTTTAGAGTTATAGTTGGATTGATTAAGGTACACCTGAGGTGATGAAGCCAGCCGATTTCAACATTTTTATGCGCGTTAATAATTACGGGGTGCCGTTTGTAAAGTGGCTCGCGCTGAAAATAACATCAACATTTTGCCACATTTAGCTTCAAACAATGTTTAAAAAAGTGTTGTGAATTTTTTAACGTCACCTTTTACCACATTTACAGCAATATTTGTTAACTTAGAAATATATTAAATAGTTAAATCTAAATATTAAATGTGGCACCTAAATGTTAAATGTTAAATCTGAATATTAAATCTAAATCTAAATCTAAATGTTAAATCTAAATATTAAATATAAATCTAAATGTTAAATCTAAATATTAAATATAAATCTAAATGTTAAATGTCAACTTCATGATAAGCGAGTAATCATAACAAATCAGACGAGCGACTGTTCAACTGGCCTCTCCACCCAAGTTTCATCGGAGCCAGCAGCTGCCAGGTACTTGTCACAGTGGTTCTTTTGCCAAACTCAGAGACTCTCTGCAGCTTAAGAGAACCAACGTTTGAGGACCACCTGAAGGACGTCACAGTCAGGCTCAACTGCTCCTCCACCACTGTGTTCCAGCCAGTGTCATTCTGCTGGGAAGTCCGGGAGCTGCAAAGCGACAGTCCGGGGTCCTCAGGACAAATGTCCGCCTGATTCAACGCTGCTAAGAAAGTAGGCAAAGAATTTCCCTCACCTGGTGCAGCCGCTGTGTTGTGGTAAGTTGATGTCGAATAGGAGGCTTAATTATTCTGACCTTAATTTAAGTTTCCTTAGGTAAATGGTTTTGGGCATCCCTGTGTCCCCAATTTATCTATAGCCACATACTCTCTCTCACTGTCGCCAAACTAAATAACTTACACGAGTGTTACCTCTTGTCTCAATCCATTTATACATACTGTTGATTTTGTGTCATCTCATATTATTATCATTTGCTATTCATTTACTCAGCTGTTACACATTTAGCCTAAATAAATCTTCATTTATTGCCAAGTCGTTTTCTGTGGATATTCCTTTTGAGCTGGAAGATCACTGTATGACGAATTCATAACCCAGATACTGACATCGATTCATTATTTATAAGTGTACTGATGAATTAATAGCTAATTGGTTTCCAGAGTTATTCATTTGATTAGTTGCTTCCCTCATTAGGAGGGTGGTGCCCCAAACTTTATTACGAGTGCAAACATTCTTTAAAAGGTATTGTTCCTACAGCTGTTTGTCTGAATTTTTTTTATCAATAGTTTTAATTATAAGACTGATTTTTATTACTTGGAAAAATTATCAGTATATTTGTCAGCTGCAGTCAGTTAAAGAAAATTTTGGACAACTGAAATTCTACTTTAAATTCAACCAGCTGATTGGTCGATGAGAAAAAAATATCTTCATGTTATCGCTGGATGAACTAAATCTACCTGGCAGTGTTGTGTGTCATCCAAAGCATTTTGAAGCTGCGACCAGCAGCTCTATCTCACTCCACAGTTTTTGCCCTAGGAGGCTGAAACTTGAATTCATGCTTGTTTTTTCTGAGACTGGTGCTGTAATGAGACTCAGGAGTGCAGAGGCATAAAAAGAGGTAAAGAGAGAGATAAAATATGTTTAAAGTACATTGTTATGGAGGGACGGGTGGGTACTTCCTGGATAGTACTTTGGCTTTACCCATGTGGTGTCCAACCGGGTTATGAACTGATATTGTCTGGCCGCATATCATAAAATAGAGTGTGAGGTGAGCTCTGTCTGAAATAAGCAGCTAATGGCAGGCTGATAACCACAGTCTACATCCTGTGAGTCAAACTAACCAACTTCTTATATTCACACAACACTAATGGATGGAAACGGACATTAATTTGTATTTTCTGTTGCTGTTTTTTTTTGGACATTCAGTTAAAATTTGCTCAATGTTTGAATGTAACTTGACATATGATGATACTGTCATTGTTTCCTGTGTGTTGTTTTACAACTGTTCCACTTCACCACTAATAAGCCTTGGATATGGCCCTGACACTACACTTTGTGGTATGATGATGGTGTGTGCTGACACATGGTTCACTTGTTCGATTGTTTTGGATCTGTTCCCTGGCTTTGCACGGAAGCTTTGAGAACATTGTCAAAGAGGAGATGAAACCCATTGAGACAACATCCTTGTTTAATATTTTAACCTTTGTTTGCACAGAGTAAATATCATCAACACCCTTTATCAGCTACACCCTGCACACCGACACAGTTCTGCACATCTGCACCTCAATGCCCTGATCTGCTCCACAGAAGGGGTCAAAGGGTGAGTTCACCAGAATTACACAAAAACAACTTCTCACATTTCTTCAGTTCTGTCAAGCGTCAGGTTTGTGATTGCTGAAATTTGTGCTGCCACCCCATGACAAACAGTGTTATGTTTGGGACTCAGAACTACAAACAGCAGCACTTCCATCTCTGTTAATCCAGATGATACACAGACATGCTGGTATCCTTTTAAAATACTTTTTTTTCTCCATAGAAAGCAGTCCTAATGGAAACAGCTCACAGTCGGTTTTAAACAAACTTTTGAAATACTGCTAAAAAGAAATGTAAATAGGTTTTGAGCAAACAAATGAATGTAGGGGAAATACCTTTTTGAGAATCTTTGCACTCGTAATAAAGTTTGGGGCACCACCCTCTTAATGTGGGAAGCAACTAATCAAATTAATAACTCCATAAACCAATTATTAATTCGTCAACACGCTTATCAATAATAAATCAATCTCAGTATCTGGGTTATGAACTCTCCATACAGGGATCTTAGTTCCTGCCCAAAAGGAATATACACAGACAACAACTTGGCGATAAATAAAGATTTATTTA